ATTCTACCGTACCGGAGATATTTATGTATTTTCGCATTAATTTCGAATATCTTTAATTTTCAGCTATTTTGGGTTTATATCTTTAATTTCAGTTAAACTAAGGTTATACCTTTAATTTCAGATATACTGAGTTCAAACCTTCAATTTCAGATAAACTGAGCTTATACCTTTATTTTAAGCAATATTGAGCCTATACCTTTAAATCAATTATTTTGTGTATATTCCTTTATTTTTAAGCACCTTTAGTTGCCAGCTGAACAAGTACCTTTAAATTCATCAGCAATGTTTCAGATGATAAAACTTATTTTTATTTCAGCATTGTGTTTGAAAGACACATATTTACAGTAGAAACTTCCTTTCTATAAAGTCATATGTTTCACATGTAATGGATACATGTTATTTTCAAATGCAGTTCTGATTTAAAAATGCAATACAAATTGTGTTCTGTTTTTAATTCTATGGGTTCTGCAGTTTTGAGACAGCTATTTAATAGGTTAATAAAATGTCAGAAGCCATTTTGCCCCTAGCAGGGGAGAATGTCACTTGCCGTTTTATTTATTATATTAATTGTTCATTTTGCCGTGCACTGTTCGTCATTTAGTCGCGGAAATGTATCTTTAATGTTCACGCATGCTTCGATTATCGTTGGTCTCCGTGATGTCTGTTATCGTCTGCTATTGTTTGTATCGGATTGTTCCGTAACGTACGCTTATTAGCGGTAATTCACGGAAACGGCCGAAGCAATTCAACTCTGTCTGTATCTCGTGCAATTTTGTGAACTCATTTTGTATGTCCAATCGTTTTGTACGTTGTATGAAAGAGTTTTGAGAGAATTTTTTAGATTAGTTACATTTCCTTTCTTCCCAATTCCCGCGAACTTTCATTCTCGACTTCACTTCGTGTTTTTTCTCTTACCAGTTAAGATTATACAGTTGTACTTACAATTATTCTATAAGTTAATTTAATAGATTTTTTAATAGGAAATAACTTATTATTAATAAGTTATTTACTTTTTTGTATTGAGACACTGTGGTAAGGATATGTTCATTTCATTAATTTAATTGAAATTAATTCTTTTTTGCATCGTTCAATTGTTGTATTGTTGTATTTTATGTATGTTTTAATTAACTTGTATTGTAATCATGTATTTAGGCTTTTTCGTCGTATTAAATTAAATTGACGAACATACGTCAGGGGTTAGCAATCTATAATTGACACCTCAGGTATGTAATTCTTATCAGTTGTGTAGAGCTATTTTTAGAGCTGTGAAATTACATCCACTGATATCACGCTTCAGTGCACACGCTATAAACAATGCTGTGTGTAATACAACGTGACATTTTTATTGAGTGTGATTTGAACATATATAGGATTTGATAGGTAATTAGGTGTGGATGTAAGGTAATTATTGCATAGCTAAAAATCCCATGTGGCAAATTAACTCTTGTGCAGATTTTATCACGTGTCAAATTTGTGTATTTCCTGATTTTCACGAGTCAAAACCCAGATCCCTGTGTCAATCGAGAGCCCTGAGTCACGGTCCTCTGATTGTTTATTTTCTTTGATCTAGCTTCGATAATATGATTCCTATACGTGTTGATTCTTTGAAAATTTAGAAGTCCCAATTTTGATAGGTTTTAAACAGTTGAAAAGGAAATACAATTCATTAATGAATTTTAGATTTTGAAAAGTCAGGAAGTTTGCAAAAGAAAATACATGTATTACCAAATTTGCTTTTTTTATTTTTTTTCTATAAGTGGAATTATTCTCACTCACTCACTCACTCACTCACTCACTCAATCACTCAATCACTCACTCACTCACTATCTCACTCACTCACTCACTCACACACACACTCACTCACATAATAACTCACATTCTCACTCAATCAATCAATCACATACTCACTCAATTTATCACTCACTCACTTGCATACTGACTCACTCACTCACATACGTACTCACATACTCATTCATATACTTACTCACATACTCACTAACTCACACATTAACGCACTCACTCACTCACTTACTTACACACTCACTCACTCAATCACATACTCACTCACTCACATACTCACTCACACACTCACTCACATAATCACTCACTCAACCACATACTCATTCACTCACATACTCACTCATTCACATACTCACTCACTCAACCACATAATCACTCACTCACTCACTTACTCACTCAATGATAAAGATAATCTTCCTTAAATGTCTGATGTCAAAATACAATTATGCAATATTATGTAATATATTTCTGAAAGAATAACATAAATTCAACATAGCTTATTAAACGAACATGCAAGCATTTATTGAGTTACAGATATAGTTGATAAGGCGATCTTTAGATAAATCTGATGATTGACGTTAGCGAAAATGATTGTATAAAATGATGTGAATGATACATATGTTGTTATATTTTTTTTGCAACAAATCAGGTAAAATTAAATTCGTCAGAGTATTAAAAGAATTTAGATAGAGGAAATTAAATCACTTTCTTACTTTAAATAGTTTCATTTTATACATTGTTTTGAAGTAATTAATTTATTACTTGTTACTTTTAGTATGTAACCAAATGTTAAATCGTGTATTAAAAAAGTCAATATATCAAATAGCAAACATACAGCTATTTTCATATCAATGCTATAATGGCAATACAAATCACAACTAGGTAAAACATATCGACAATCGTTACGAACTTTTTAACCGATATCTAGATATATACGCTGACCAACCCAAAAAGTTCATCTCGGTTTTCAGGCTGTCCGTTTCAAACATGATTACTTCATTTTTGTGTTACATGATAAAATGCTTTTGTTCTTGAAAGTTATATTTGCGGAAGATCATAGTTCAATGTTTGTGACTTTCACATGCTTTATTGTTTTAAACCTTGGATTATAAAATCATAAGGGTCTCGGGTGAGTTGCTTTTTGTGTTATAATACTGCATTTAAGTTGAAAATGAACATACTGCATACAGTTAAAAACAATTTAGTTGCAAGCAATACGACGTAATTTATTAAAAATTTGATAATTTGTAGGAAAATAGTGTTGTTATAACCCCCACATGTGTTCTATAAACAAAAAAAATGTAATACCAAAAGAATTTGACAAAAGACAATGTTTCAAAGCCAAACACTATGGTTCTTTTATAAGATATATGTTTAAACTGTTAGAAAATGTCAAAAACATGTAACTCGATATATTTTAAAAAGGGGAAATACACTCGTTCCCCTTTTTAAGGCACTATTTTTGCATTATTTTCAGCTAAAGTAATGGTATTGTTTTGTGAAAAGTAAAAGACAAACAGCTAAAGTAAACATCCAAATTTAATTTTTTTTTTGTTTCTTTTGCAAATGTTTTCGGGGGAACCGTTCCCCCGAAGAACAAAAGCCATGTACAGAATACAACATGTTTTGATCAATAAAAAGCAATTTTGCAGTAATAAGAGATGCATTAAGGGGGAACCTTTCCCTCATCGAATAAAAAGTAAATTTCAAAACTTATCATAACATATTTTCTAAAGGGGAACCGTTCCCCCTTAACAAAATAGATAAATAACAATTTGATAGAATAAAATGCAATAATTTAGTAATTTAGAGCCATGTAAAATGGTAAGAGGGAAACCGTTCCCTCCTCAAAATAAAAAAATAAATTTCAAAACTGATCTATAACAAATTTTCTAAAGTGGAACCGTTCCCCCTTAACAAAACTGGTATATGTATAACAAATTGATAGAATAAAATGCAGTAATATAGAAATTGAGAGCCATGTTAACGGTAAGAGGGAACCGTTCCCTCATCGAAATAAAAAAATAAATTTCAAAACTTATCTATGACACATTTTCTAGAGTGGAACCGTTCCCCTTCACAATTTGACGACAATTTTTATGCAAGACTAATAAATTAGTGTGTTTGACTGAATTAAACTCATAAAGATAGAAATATATTTCTTTTATATTGTAATCAAAAATATAGTTTAGTTAAAATTAGACTATTGTGTCACAAAACTAATATAAAAGATAAACGGGGCTCGTTTCGGATATTCCAAATTCGGATATTTAGAAATAAAAATGTGCATGCATACTATTTCGTCTAACTAAATGTATTTATTTTCATAAATACTGTAAGGTTGTTCATTTTTGAATAATAAATGTCGAATTTGCTGGTTTTATTCATCTACTTCATACATTATGCTTAAAATAAGGGTGAAAAGAATCAATCGCAATTTTAACGGCCTTTTTAGTCAGTCTTTTGACAAGGACGTTGAACATAATAATAATAATAATAATAATTATTATTATTATTGTTATTATTATCATTATAACAGAAAACAGATAGTATAATTATTATTATTATTATAACGGAAAACAGATAGGTATTTCTGTCTAACTTAACTAAACTTACACTGAGTAACTATATACATGTAAGCAAATAGTATGTAAATACTAGGAGTTGTTGACTTATTCCAATGTATAGTGTAAAAGTCCGCATAAATTAAGTAAATTTATAGATATAAAAGTACGTTAGAATTTTTTTTGTCAAGTAAAAATAATGTTTGACTGTATGCTCTTTCGGAGTATACGTTATATTTGATACTGAACTGCAAATTCACTACAATTTTCTTTTATGAATTATGTAACAGCCAAATCCAGAAAACGATTTGTGTTATTTATAATTATGGAAATCAGACTTTAATTACAATTGTAATGTAATGATCCATGACGATATGAGAACTGAGAAAAAACAAGAGCTGTCACAGAACGTGACAAAAGCCCCCGAAGGATTCTAGTTATAAACCACCTGTTACATGTTAAGTGTGGTGGTAAAAATTGACAAAGTTCGAACTTCAGCAGTGAATATAGGTTATAAAAAGAAATCTAGGTCTTGGTCACAACACATTGTCCATCTATGGTGACTTTATATTGTTAAATAAAAATTGAAACTTTCATGTATATGGAATAGTGATTGTCCGATTGTAGATCGGTATGTTGATAATGTCGCCGACATCGATTGTGGTCGAACAGAATCGATTGTCGCTTAGTGATAATTTTTGCTCCTTTGTGGTAGTTATTTTTCGTAGTTTTTTAGCTTTGCGCTATTTAATTTGAATACTCTTCAATCTTCACGAAAACGGCATGGCGGAGGAAAAAACCCAGACCGATTTGAACAATAATTCTCAGGCTGTATTTCCCTATCCAGGGAAAACATCATCAAATGTCTGGAATCATTTTGGTTTCCACAAGCTAAATATTGAAGGACCCGCTACCCGTGATAACTTGGACATGGCTAAAGTTGTGTGCAAGCTTTGTGGTAAAGGATATGCAAATAAAGGTACCCCACCCGTTTAAATTAAAATCGGATTCTGATACTGTATTTTACTGTTACAATCTTCGTTACTCTGTCCATTTATAATGTTAAATAATCAATTTAAAAGGCTTCTAAGCTTATATTTACCATGACACCGTTTATGGTACGGCGATTCTGTTATTAAAAATGAAATAAAATAATTAAATTTTTTATGTGAAATGGTAACTTACAATTTTATTCCTGATCATGCATATTAAATTAATTTATAGTTGAGCATCTTTTATATATTTTTTTTTCAGGGAACACCACAAATCTACAAGCTCACTTAGATGCCACTCACAGGCAGTCTATTGGAATGAAGAAAAATCTTGGGATGCAGAAGCAACCAACAATTTCATTTCAAAGGCAAATACCTAAGTTGTCAACAGAAAAACGGGACAAGACGGATGATTCATTGTTGAAACTTCTGGTTGGGAAAGCTTTACCCCTGAGTTTAACTGAAAATCATTTCTTCAAAGAATTTGTACAGGAATTAAATCCTGGGTAAATATTTATCATTGTCATCCATTATTATTAGATAATCAATATTGTCAATATAAGACATGTAGAAATATTTTCGTTATTTTATTAATTTTGTGTGCAATTTTCATTTGACATTACTCTTGCCTGTTCATCTGTCTTGTATGCCTTATACCCATGGTCTTATTTTACTGAAATAAAGTTTACATGTAAGGAATATCTTGGGATCATTACCTGCACAAATAAGAATAACAAACAAAAACAAACAAAAAAAATGTTAAAAATATTATATCTTTTGTTTATATCTTTATATAGCTTTTCCAATTATTAATTAATATCAGAGTGCCTTACATAATATTTCCTGCTAGTCTGCTGTCTGTTCAGTTTCTTTTAACAGTAGTTATTTAATTGAATACTTTGAGTTTGTACAATTTTTTAAAAGGCTTTAAACTAAATGACACATTATGATTTTTTTCAGATACACTGTTCCAGGAAAAAAGGCTGTAATGAGGGCTCTTGAAAAGAAAAATGAAGAAATGCACAACCGAGTATTGACTGATCTTAAAAATGCTCAAGGTGTAAGTTTAACTCATGATGGCTGGACTAGCATGAACACGGAAAGCTTTGATACAGTGACTGCTCATCTTATTTCAGAAGACTGGGAATTAAAAAGTATGGTTTTGCAAACTAAAAAAATTGAGGGTCAGCATACAGGTGAAAATATTTCTAAAAACTTGCTTGAGACCACAAGTGCTTGGGGAATCACTAAAGTGACATCTATAACAACTGATAACGCAGCCAATGAACAGAAAGCTGTTAAGTTACTTGATTGGAATAGATTTGGATGCTATGGCCATAGAATTAATCTTGTTGTGAAAAAATCTTTAAACATTCCTGAAGTTTCTTCACTGCTGAAGAAAGGCAGAAGACTGGTTACATTTTTTCACCAGTCATCATCAGTGAATGACCTTCTTATGATTAAACAAAAAGATCCGTCTCACTGCAGAAATCAAAATGATATTGGACACAAGCTAATAATGGACTGTGTCACAAGGTGGAACAGTACCCTATCTATGTTAGAGCGGTTAATCGAACAGATGCCCTATATAACTGCCGTAGCAAATGATATTAGTATTTCCAAGTCGGCTGGAGTCACAATTAAGTCAAATTTGTTTACTTTTGAAGAACAGACCTTGGCCGAAAAACTTGTCCAAATATTAGAACCTTTTTTGAAGGCAACGCAGATTCTTTGTGCACAGAATAACCCGACAATGCACAAAGTTATTACAACAAAAATGAAAATTATGAAATTTATTTCAATTGCTGACAGTGATGATGACATTATCAGGGATGTAAAAAGAAAAATGATTGATGAAATGAATGCTCGTACTGAGACAGAGGATTTTGCTTTGCTAGGAGCAGTTTTAAATCCTGACACTAAAGGGCTACAATTCCTTTGCCAAGAAGAAAAAGATCATGCCATGGAAATTCTCAAGGAACAGGTGAAAAATGTAAATCTGTCTGGTAAAATAAAAATTGAAAAGATAGAAATCAATGAAGGTGAAAATACTTTGCCACAGTTACCCAGTCTTCCATCAGAAAATGTCATTATTGAAAATGATTCAAATAAAAGTATTGTTGAAAGCCCAGCAAAGAAAATGAAAATTATGTGCAGTGATGCAAAGTGGTTGGAGGATGTAATTATTATTGGTGAAAGCCAGAATACTGATGATGACATTATTGAAAATAAAATACAGAGATATTTAGACTCACAGCGGCAAAATACTGACACTACTTTGACATTACTTGAATGGTGGAAATGTAATGAATATTTGTACCCAAGATTAGCAAAAGTTGCAAGAAACATTTTAGCTGTACCTGCAAGTTCGGTCCCCTCGGAAAGAGTCTTTAGTCTGGCAGGAAATATAGTTAATAAGAAAAGATCTAGATTAAATGCTGACAATATAGACAAATTGATTTTTTTAAATATGAATATGAAAATGTATTGGTAGTTGTAACTTGCTAGTATTTGCATGTAAGTAAACTGTGGCAGGAGTGAAGGATTTGTATTTTGTAATAATTTTGTTAAATAGGCACTTAAATAAAAACTTTATTTTTGATTAAATAAGTAAATGCTGGCAACATGGACACATTGATTTTTCTGAATATGATTATGAAAATCATTACATGTATGTAAAGTGGTAAACTGTGTCTGAAGAATTTGTATTTTGTAATATGTTAAATAGGCACTTAAATGAAAACTTTATTTTTGATTAAATAAGTAAATGCTGGCAACATGGCCACATTGATTTTTCTGAATATGAATATGAAAATCTTTACATGTATGTAAAGTGGTAAACTGTGTATTTTGTAATATGTTAAATAGACACTTAAATAAAAACAAACTTTATTTTTGATTAAATAAGTAAATGCTGACAACATGGACATATAGATTTTTCTGAATATGAAAATCATTACATGTATACTATGTAAACTGTGGTATGACTGAAGAATTTGTATTTTGTAATATGTTAAATAGACACTTAAATAAAAACTTTATTTTTGATTAAATAAGTAAATGCTGGCAACATGGACACATGGATTTTTCTGAATATGAAAATCATTACATGTATGTAAAGTTGTAAACTGTGTCTGAAGAATTTGTATTTTGTAATATGTTAAATAGGCACTTAAATAAAAACTTTATTTTTGAATAAATAAGTAAATGCTGGCAACAGTGACACATTGATTTTTCTGAATATGAATCAGTATGAAAATCATTACATGTATGTTAACTGTGTCCTGACTTAAGAATTTGTATTTTGTAATACGTTAAACAGACAATTAGATAAAAACATTAATTTATATTAAATAAAAGTTATGATGATTTCTATTTTCTAGTTAGTTGTGCTGGAAAACATTCAGTCCGATTATTCCGATTAATTGATCGGAGAGCCTGTCCGATTGTTCCGATTAATCGATTATGAGTTTGTCTTCCGATTCCCAACACTAATATGGAAGTTACAGAGCGGACACAACAACCACAACTTATATGTAAAGAACATAAATATTGAAAAAGTTTAAACCCCAGCAGTGACCTTAAACTAAGGTTTAGGAACACGGGTCTTAACGGCAACACATCATACATTTATGATATCAGTTTCAGAGCAAACACGACCATCTCTGCCTATATGTGTATTAATATCAAAATTGACAAAGTTTGAACCCCCACAGTGACTTGACCTAAGTCATAGAAACCAGTCTTGTTCGCGACAGACCATACATCTATGGTTATTTCATATATGAAAGAAAACTTAAAATCCTTTCATGCATACTAAAATTTCAAGGCGGACACGACCACCACTGTCTATATGTATAAATTTAAGCCTGAATGACTGACGGAATGACAGACTGACAGGCAGACGGACGGTTAGATTTTAATATGCCACCCTTAGGGGGCATAAAAACATTTAATTACATGTATCCATGATTTATGTGACATAAAACAACCCTAAGTAAGATTTGGTTTATATCATTTCAATATGCCTTTACATCTACATAATGATTGTAAATTAAACATTTAACATAGGGAAGCTTACAATTTAAAGTTTAGTTTAGCATTGTCTCTATTTCTGTTACTCGTGGTGTCCATATGCCAGATACCATGTAACGGTGGAGACAACGAAACACAATCAAACTACATGTGCAACAGCCACAAAAAAGCAGTCATTCATGTAGATAATCCAATAGATAATCCAATTCATGAAGTTATGGCTGCTTAGAAATTATGAAAACGAAAACGAAAAAAAAAAGAAAAAAAAGAGTTCATGATCAAGGTTTGAACTCAAAAACTCCTGGGTGAGAGGCTCCCATGCTAGCACTGAGCTAATGCAACATTCCGAGATATTATGACATCATTTCACAAGTATTTTTACATATACATCAATGCAGACGATTTGGAATTACAGAGTTTGAATACTCTACATACAGTATCTTTAAATTGTTTTGAGACTTGCCATCATTTTATTTTCACAAAATAAATTGTATTCTTCTAATCTACCTTTTAGAAAGACATGAAAACCTCTTAATCACTGTGTTAAAACGACCACAGTTTTTATTTTATTTTTTTTTTTTTTTTTTTTTGTGAGGGCGAAAGAACCGGAATAGCCTGAACAGCATAATTTATTTTAATGAATCAATAAAATAACATAACAACACCTTGCTAATTCTAAGAATGAAATATTTAAGGCATAAACAGAATTTCAGCATTTATTTATAAACGTTTACATATAATTCTTTTAACCTGCCAGAGTTTTGTTTACAACCGTTACACTGGAAACCGTCGAACTCGTACCAAAACTTAATCGTACTCATTTGAGTGAAAGTGCTTTTAATTTACTAGAAATGATTTTCCTGCGAACATTTATTAAAATATATTTTATGAATCATATTTCAACAACTTAGAACAAAAAATAATAATGTTGAGTGCAATATACATGCTCCATGGTTTGCATTTAATGAAATAAATGTCAGAAAATGACGTTTAGATATTAGATAAAAATCTAATTTTGGAATAGAGCACATACAAGCCCCAACTTTATATTGATATAGTTGAAGCCTTTGATACATTACAACACAATGGTGTTATGATTTTGTTGGGGCTGGACTGTGCTGATACTTTAATTTTCGTTTAAGACACCAAAAATACGTGAATTTTCCTAATTTTGCTGGATAAAGGGGTATTTCCATAGAACATAAATCATACTTAATGTAAACATATGTCTATAAATTCATATGTTTTTAACAGTTTAAGGATTGAACTTATAAATAAAACCTAAAAACAAAAACTTTGCATCAAATTATTTTTTGCCAAAATCTTGGGCAAAAATCCATGGTTAGTGAACCTTGCTCTTTCAAAACTTATCTGTAACAATTTTTCTAAAGTGGAACCGTTCCCCCTTAACAAAACAGATATAAAAATTTGATAGAACAAAATGCAGCTATTTAGAAATTTAGAGCAAGGTTACCGGTAGGAGGGAACCATTCCCTTATCAAAATAAAAAATAAATTTCAAAACTTATCTATGATACATTTTCTAAAGTGGAACCATTCCCCCTTAACAAAATAGATATAACAATTTGATAGAAAAAAATGCAATAATTTTGAAATTTAGAGCCATGTAAATGGTAAGAGGAAACCGTTCCCTCCTCAAAATAAAAAAATAAATTTCAAAACTGATCTATAACATTTTTTTTCAAGTGGAACCGTTCCCCCTTAACAAAACTGGTACATGTATAACAATTTGATAGAATGAAATGCAGTAATATAGAAATTGAGAGCCATGTTACCGGTAAGAGGGAACCGTTCCCTCACCGAAATAAAAAATAAATTTCAAAACTTATATATGACACATTTTCTAAAGTGGAATTGTTCCCCCTTAACAAAATAGATATAACAATTTGATAGAATAAAATGCTATCATTAAGAAATTTATAGCCAGGTTACCAGTAAGAGGGAACCATTCCCTTCCCTCCTCAAAATTAAAAATAAATTTCAAAACTTATCTATAACAAATTTTCTAAAGTGGAACCGTTCCCCTTAACAAAACAGATACATGTATAACAATTTGATAGAATAAAATGCAGTAATATAGATATTTAGAGCCATGTTACTGGCAAGAGGGAACCATTTCCTCATGACAACTTAAACAAAATTCAATAATTTGAACTTGACAGTCAAAGTGATTTAAAGCTCAGGGTCAAGGTCTGTTCAACCTTTTAGCATGTCTTGTCCAAATGGTTGTTTTGTCTAAGTTTGAAATACTCCATTAATTACTTATAAAGTTTAGCCAACAAAATGACCCTAGATCGCTCACCTGACCCATCAACCCCATATTATATTAAACTCCTGTGACCTAGTATTTCATCTGAGATGACACATGTTTGAACTCATCCGAGCAATTACCTAGACAAGCATCCTGACCAAGTTTCATGACAGGTGAGTCAAACATGTGACCACTAGAGTGTTAACAAAGATTTTCTTAATTTGAGCAGTGTGACCTAGTTTTTGACCCCAGTTGACCCATATTCAAATATGACATAAAAACCATCAAAACAAACTTTCAGTCCAGGATATTTGGATGAAAACAGTAGCCATTAGAGTGTTAACAAGATTTTTCTATTTTCAGCTCCTGTGACCTAGTTTTTCATCTGAGATGACCCATGTTCAAACGCATATAAGCAATTGCATAGACAAGCATCGTGACAAAATTTGATGATGGTTGAGGTAAAAATGTCTTGTCTACTTGAAGGTCTTGTCAAAAGGGTTGTTGTGAAGAAAATTGAACTCATTTTGTAATGAAATAATTGCCAATGTTAAAGTTTTTGGATGACAACAAGAAAGTAAGGCATAACTCTACAAAGCAATAGCTCACACTCTTTTATTCTTAAACAAAATTGAGCAGAATACTAACAAGAGCACCGCTAGACCAAATGTGGGCCAAATGAAACTTAAGTTATTCTCCGGAAACTGTTTTCACTTTTAAAGTAATAGTGACCTTGACCTCTGACCTTGTGACCCCAAAATCAATAGGGGTCTTCTTCCCAATATGGACAATCATCCTATGAAGTTTTTATATTGTGGGCCAAATGAAACTTAAGTTATGTTCCGGAAACTGTTTTCAGTTTTAAAGTAATAATGACCTTGACCTTTGACATTGTGACCCAAAAATCAATAGAGATTTTTTATCCAATATAGACAATCATCCTATGAAGTTTGAACACTGTGGGCCAAATGGAACTTAAGTTATGCTCCGGAAACTGTTTTCAGTTTTAAGGCAAAAGTGACCTTGACCTTGAACCTTGTGACCCCAAAATCAATAGGGGTCTTATACCTAATATGGACAATTATACTATGAAGTTTGAACACTGTGTGCCAAATGGAACTTAAGTTATGCTCCGGAAACTGTTTTCAGTTCTTGACCTTTGATCTTGTGACCTCAAAATCAATAAATGCCTTCTACCTAATAATAATATGGACAATCATCCTCGGGTAACAGTATTTTCCCCGGGATAATATTTTACTGTTACCAACAAACCCATGTGTTATTTATATACTGTTACCCAGTCACACAAGTACCTCTGGGTTCGTACGGAGGAACAGATGCCAGAGGGTATAACATAATATGCCCGAAATTGTTTCCGGCATATTAAAATTCAACACATCATTTCTCCCCAATGAGATTTATCCATCTATAATGTATTAAGTTTCACTAACATGTAGATACATGTCAGAAAAACGAGAAAGAAAAATTTTGGATATTGAAACTAAATATAAATCGATTCAAGAGATTAATCTTGGTAAACGTAAAAAACAGGACCTTGCAAACGATTTTGGAATTAAACAAAACACATTAAGTTCAATCTGGAAAAATAAAGATTCTGTCATCAATGCATTCGAGACTACGTCGTTCAGCCCAGCCCGTAAACGAATGCGTCATGCCAGTAATAGAGACATTGAAATGGCGCTGTTTGAGTGGTTTAAGACTGTACGATCCCAAAATGTGCCTATTGATGGACCTATGCTTACACGAAAGGCTAATTCTCTGGCATGTGAGCTGGGCATGGAAAATTTTCAGGCAACAAACGGATTTATTGAAAGATTCAAAAATCGTCATGGCATATCGAGCAAAACATTATCCGGTGAAGGTGCTTCCGTCGATAATTCACAAACTGAAAATTGGATGCAGTCAAAACTTCCAAGTTTAATCAAGGACTATGAACCAAAAAATGTCTACAATATCGATGAAACTGGCGTTTTTTATAAAATGACCCCAAATAAAACACTAGAGGTAAAAGGAACAAAATGTTTTGGAGGCAAACAAAGCAAGGACAGAATCACAGTGCTTATCGGCGCAAATATGGACGGTTCTGATAAACTTAAACTTTTGATAATCGGAAAATTCAAAAATCCTAGATGTTTTAAAAATGTTAAAAGTTTGCCGGTAGATTACGAAGCTAATCGTCGTGCTTGGATGAACTCAGAAATATTTATCAGTTGGGTGAAAAAAATTGACAAACATATGACACGTGAGAAAAGATCTATTCTATTGTTTGTTGATAATTGCCCGGCCCATCCGAAAATCGAGGGATTAAAAGCTGTAAAACTGTTGTTTTTCCCACCTACATCTAAGTTACAGCCCTGTGATCAAGGGATTATCTTTCATTCAAAAGGCATTACAGGTCACGTGTCCTTGACCATATTATTTCATGTCTAGACAAACATATCGATAAACAGATTAACATTCTAAAAGCCATACAATGGGTTTATGCGTCATGGAAAGATGTAACACCGACGTGTATCCAGAATTGTTTTAGAAAGGCTGGATTTATGAATCAAGCACAGCATGAAATTAATGCGACCCCGCAGGGGCATGTTTCCGATTCGTCTGACACAGACGAGTTCGAGGACGATGACATTCCGCTGGCTGAATTGGCATCGAAATGGAATCGCCTTAGAGTATTCAGTGACATAGACAAAAACATTTATTTTGATGATTACATAAATGCCGATGAGAATGTTGTCTCCGTTGAGCAGAAGTCCGATAGCGATATAATAGCGGAGGTACAGCAAAAATTGAAACCCGCTGAAACACTGTCGCAGAGTGACGAAGAGAGTGACTCTGAGACTGTTGATGACCCCCCACCCACCATGAATGAGTTTCTTAATGCTATAGACACTTGCAGACGCTTTGTTCTTTCTAAGTCTGATTCGTGTAATTCTGTTTTCGAATGTTTACATGAACTTGAGAAATTTTCAGTTGAAATAGGGAAAGCCAAAAAGCAGACAAAATTAACTGATTTTTTCGGACAGTGAATGGTTTTGTACATGAACAAAACTTAAACAAGATTTACCCATGAGTGTAAATAGTTAAAAAAGCAATTCAATTTTGACGTTTTTTTTCCAGTGTATAAATTTAAGCCAATGTAAGGTTACCAGTACCTGTGTACATATTACTTTCGGTTTATGTCAGTTTTGTGTTTATTTTGATGTGCAACTGATTTTTTATGCATTAAACATTGATATGCATAAAAAGAATAAAGTTTTGTCGTAAGTACATGATTGTCACATGTCTAGTATATAATGCTACTGCTTATACATGTTCAACGATGCAGTGCATCGTCAGTAAGCTACACACCGTACAGAAATTCGGTTGTAACGATATTCGGATATATCGATATAGTTTTGTATGTCCCCTGAATATCGTTATAAGCGGAGTTTACTGTACCTCCTTTTGGTGGATGGATATATGGACATACCAACACATGTACTAAGTTGTTATAAAGTTTTGAAAACATAATGATTCCTAGTGTTTTAGTGCATTATTAGTTCATTCAACATGATGTTAAACATGCACATTTAGCCATATAGATATTGTTAACAAACAATATTCAACAACCATATTCAGTATATCAAATGAACGTTTCAACAAAACTTAAGTCATATATACTGTCATACCGTATTTTTTGCATTGTAAATCTATAAGGAGAAGGCCTTTATAAGCTCAGCTTTCGGACCCAATCCTTTTTCAGCATATTATGTTTGTATTGTGTACATTATTGTCTGTATATATATTGTGAATTTGTTCGAAATAAACTATGTTTAAACTAACAAAACTTATGCAAAGTTTAAGCACATGTTCCATCGAAACATGTTTCTGCTCTTCTACGAGATGAATAGGGAAACTCTTCTTGACAACAATATCTGAAAAAAAAAAAAAAAAAAAAAAAAAAAAAAACTATTTTACTTTTTTATATTTCAAAATTTGATAAATAAAGTACTTCATATGATAATTCTTCAATAAATTAATTATAGTCCATATAAAAAAAAATTATTGCATCATTATTTTTTGTGTAAGTGAGAGGTTAAGGACAAGAATCATTGACAAATTTCTTTATAGGGCCAAGCTATTTTTACTTAACAAAATATATGCTCTCTTTAGAGGTGATATATAAAAGAGTAATTGATCCTTAAATTTCCTCAAGACAAGAGGACTTTGATGACTATAGAGTTTCACATGGTTGATGAACAAAACAGGCAAAGAGAATTGTATTTGGTAAAGTATCATTTTAGCACATTGTGTAGATATTGTACAAGTACATACTTAATTTAACTGTGACCAATATATCTAGTTGTTGAAGGTAACCATTTTTATCCAAGATATGACCTGCAATGTGGTTAATATTTACATTATAACAATTAACAAATGCATATTTAATGTGGTCCAAAGGAATGCTGTATTAACTGGAACAATACTGTCTCAACCAATATCAGATATTTGATGTATATTCAATTCAATGAACAGGGTTCAGATAAGCAGACAATAGGGCGTGCTTGGCTTAGATAAGTTGACTTCAAATCACTTGCAACTCACTGCTCTGAGTTTGAATACCACTGATTACTCTCTGTACTTTCATGTGAGGAAACTACATAAATCAAACAAGCTTACAGAATGTTGGTTTATCTACTTAGGTACTTGCTCATGCCTGACATAATGCATCACTGCTATGACCTTGATCGAGGGACTTAAGTACAGCACGCAAAACATCATCTACTAATGGCGGCTGCATTAACCAATTCATTTTGAAATCCTATCATTTGTTACGAGCCAGGCGTAACGAGAAAGAAAAGCCAGCATAAACTTGTAACAATAACAAATTTATTACAGAAAAATTACTAAAGAAAAATTAAATAACAATTTATGTTTACAAATACCTGAAATACAAATAAAAATGTCAAATGTCTAGTCTGATCCTGGAATGATCCCTTTTTGAATAGCACAGTTAAATCCAAGTTAAATCCAAAAACACTTTAGAATTCCAACAATAAAATTCACAAGAATAATTTACTCTATTTTAATATCCAAGCTCCAATAAATCACTTAATATCCAAGTTGAATAATACTCCAAATATATTGATGACTTAAAATATAACTGATGACTTCAAAGATCACTGATGACTTAAAAGGTAACTGGTGACTTCAAAGATAATACAAAAAGAAAATGTCTCCTTAAAATTTTAGCTAAGAATTTTTCTAGAAAGTCTTCCATTTTCACAGTTCATAATCTAAAATTAAACAATAAATTCATTCCGGAAAATTTCTTCCAAAATATAATGCAGTTTTTCTAAACTTTTAAAAAAATTCTAGTACTACATTGTTTATGTTTTCTAAAAATAGAACAATGATAATATTGGAAATACCAACTGGTCAGATATAAATTATATACATGTAATATGTTGCATACATAACACTTCCCCTCTTCAAGAAAAAGAAATATGAATGAAATGAATATTTCTTTTACATAAATCCAAACAATATAACTTACGAATAATAGGAGAAATGTTAAACAATTTTATACATAAAATCATATATATGTGTATTATAAACAATAGCAAACAACGAAGTAAAAATAAACAATCATATGATGTAGATGTTTAATGTAAATACTGAAAATATCAGTTTTAGACACGAGAAAGTGCATCAGGGATCAAATTATCTTTCCCTTTAATGTGTCTAATGTCAAGACTATATTCTTGCAAAAATAAATTCCACCTCAACAACCTTTGATTTTTGTTTTTAAGTTTATGCAAGAAAGTGAGGGGATTGTGATCACTAAAGACAACAACAGGCAACTTTGAAGAAGTTAGATAAACTTCAAAATGCTGAATAGCAAGAATAAGAGCAAGGCACTCTTTCTTTATAGTAGAGTATTTTTTCTGATGTTCATTAAACTTTTTAGAAAAGTAACAAACGGGCTGGTCAACACCATTGTTGTCTTCTTGGATCAATACACTTCCAGCACGTATGTCACTAGCATCTACAGCAAACTAAAATTTTTTATTAAAATCTGGTGCCAAGAGAACTGGTGCACTCTTAAGTATGGCTTTAAGGCTGTCAAATGCCATTTGAGACTTGTCATTTCAAATGAATTTGTTTCTTTTCTTTAGCAAATTTGTCAATGGTTCTGCAATAACCGAAACATTATTACAAAATTTACGATAATACCCTGCCATACCAAGAAATCGCATCAGTTGTCTTTTACAAGTAGGCACAGGAAATTCAGAGATAGCTTTGACCTTAACTTCTATTGGATTAACTTTACCCTGTCCCACTACATGACCTAAAAATGTTAAAATTGCATGACAAAATTCACATTTTGCAAGATTAACTGTCAATTTAGCATCTCTAAGTCGGTTGAAGATTGGTCTTATAGTTTTGAGATGTTCCCCCCATTCATCAGAGTAGATGATTGCGTCATCAATGTGTGCACATTCGTGTAGACCAGATATTACCATATTTATAAGTCTCTGAATAGTTGCTTGTGAGTTTTTCATACCAAAGGGCATGACTTTATATTTATATAAGCCGTCTGGTGTTACAAAGGCTGATAGATTCTTTAGCTCTATCAGTAAGTGGAACTTGCCAGAATCCTTTTAGAAGATCAAACTTTGTTACATACTTTGCTTTTCCAATTGTGTCAATACAGTCATCAATTCTTGGTATAGGAAATGAATAAGTTTTTGTTACAGAGTTCACTTTACGATAATCTGTACACATTATATATGTTCAATTTGATTTCGGTACAAAAATACATGGAGAGCTGTAACTGCTTTGACTTGGTTCAATAAAGTCATTATCCAATAAATACTGAACTTCTTGTCTTAGATACTTTTGTTTTACAGTATTTGTTCTATATGGATGTTGTTTAATTGGTTCAAAGTTTTCAAGAGTGACGTCATGATGTATTTTATCAGTCCGTGTGGGAATATCAGGAAATAAGTGTTCATATTCATAAATAAGCTGTTTCAGGTTATCTCGTTTCGTCGGTTCTAAGTGAGCAAGTTTTTCATCCAGATTTTTCAGAATATCAGAGTTTTCAAGCTTTGCTGAACCAGGATCAGACTTTCAAAATTTTCATAACTATTAGATTCAACTGAACATTGATTTTGTGGAACAGAGTTTACAAAAGATATAGGTTTACTAATTTTGCTATCTCTGTCAAAATATTCTTTTAACATATTTATGTGACACATTTGTTTTTGTTTTCGCCTCCCAGGAGTATTAATAATATAATTAAGGTCACTGACTTTCCTTTCAATAGTATAAGGATCAAAGTAGCTTGCCTGTAATGGTTTTCCAGGTAAAGGTAAAAGAGCAAGTACTCTGTCACCAGGGTTAAAACTTCTATCCTGAGCATTCTCATCATACCTTGATTT